AGACAGAGTGGATGGATGGATAGGTAGGTAGGTAGATAGATAATGGATAAATGATCAATAATAGAATTATAGTAGATGACTGATAGAGACAGAGAGAGACAGACTGGATCCCTCAGGCTGGTCCAGGGCTTCTCAGCCCCGGCACTGCTGACATTGCAGCTGGAGGACTTGCTCTACTGGGGGGCGTCCTGTGCCCCATGGGGTGTGGAGCTGCGTCCCTGGTCTCCACCCACCACATGCCTGGAGCATCCTTCCCAGAGCTGAAATTACCCTCAGAAGTTGCCAAGTGTCCCCCAGGGGACAAAACTGCTCCCCCTCTGGGATCGCTGAGTTAAAATGAAGCCAAGCTGTCCTTGGAGGCCAGCAGAGATGCAACTGGAGATTATCCTGGGTCCTCCTGGAACCTAAAGCCTTTGGAAAGACAATAACCCGGCTGCTGCCTTACTCAGCATTTTGATACTGTTTCCATCATGGATCTCTTTGTTTTTTTAAATTCGCTTTGATTCCTTGAACGGTTGCTTTAAATAGTCTGTATTTACTGATATTTCTATAGGATTTTGTGTGTATTATTTACATATTACTTTTGTTTATTTTCTTTCTTAAGGTTTTATTTTTAATTGTGTTGTTTTTTTTTTAAAAAAAGACTCGTGAAATTTAACATCTTAACCATTTTTTAGCGGACAGTTCAGTAATGCTTAAGGACATAAACATTACCGGGCAGCCACCATCCCCAGCCATGGCCACAACTCCTCATCTTGCAGACCTGAAAGTCGGTCCCCATTAAACAGCAGCTCCCTTGCCCTCTGCCCCACCACCACCCCCCTGGGCACCTCCCACCTCCAGCTATTTTCTGTCTCTGTGAATTTGATGACTCTTGGGAACTTATGTGAATGGAATCATAGTATTTGGGGTTTTGGTTTTGTGTGTGTGTGTGTGTGTGTGTGTGTGTGTGTGACTGGCTAATTTCACTGAGCACGTTGAACTAACACACTATTATATGTCAATTATATCTCAAAAAAACTGCAATACATATGCTATCACTCATATGTGGAATCTAAAAAAAAAAAAGACGAACTTATATATAAAACAGGACCACACTGACAGAGATAGAGTACAGACTTGTGTTTGCAAGGGGAAAAGGGGTTGGGAAGGGACACATTGGGAGCTCGAGATTTCCAGATACTGACCAGTATATATATAAACTAGATAAGCAAGTTTATACTGTACAGCACAGGGTAGTAGCTCAGAGTGAAAAAGAATTCACAAATGAATATATGCGTGTTCATGTGTGACTGGAGCACTGTGCTGTGCACCAGAAGTTGACACGACGTTGTAAACTGACTGCAACTCAAAAAAAAAAACTGGAATATAAACAGAGATGTCTACTGTGTAAAAACGGGTCACCTAAGTCTCTCGACAGTAGAGCTAGTCAGGGAATTTTAGATAAAGTGAAATGCTGCCCCCACAGAGCGTTGCTTTGCATCTGCTCTCCTCTTTCGTCATGAGAGATTACAGGCGGGGTTTTCTGCATTCACAGTGGTGCTTGTAACTGTAAGTGTTCCAGGAGCCTGCTTTCAAGTAACGACACTGACATACAAGAGCACAGCTCGAGACAGAAATGGATGTTGTTTCGGAAAAACTGACTTGTGGCAAGATACAGCAGAGCAGAAAAAGAGAGGCGATAATCTCCATCCATTTGGGCATGTGTGTGGTTTCTTTTATTTTGTTGGCAGTGTGCAGGTACTAACGGAAAGATATTCTAAGTTGCAATCATTCATGGTCTTTCGTTGCTGTGAATCTACGTGCTCACGTGCAGTCGGTGCTCGGCTCATCAACGCTCCTTAACTCTGTTCTCTGTAAATGAGAGACAGTGTCCCTGACGACTCTTCCATCCACAAACATCGCTGATATATTTCAGACCCGCCTCGCTGTCTGTGGGAGGGAGGCGTTACGATGTTGTTCTCCACCATCTAAGTACGTCAGCTAGCGGCATGTTTCTATCGGGGCTGCTATTTACACTCTACACCTAACGTTATCACCCAATCAGAGAGAAGAAGTGGTCAGCCAAGGGCAGCAGGGCACGGGGCATGGTCCAAAACGGGTCCTCAAGTGGACTTTTCACTGTGTTCCTCCCAGATGGGACGGGCGATGACACAGTGAGTTTTGGCCACCAGAGATGCTCACCGGAGGCTTGGTGTCCAGCGTTCCGCTGCTGTTCCATCACGCACCACCCCTGGGGTGGACCACTGGGCTCCAGCCTCTCCAGAGGTGGCGCTAATCCCTGTGGTCTTCAGTTCCACCCTAAGTCATGACAGAGCCTGCCCCAAGGGGCCCAAAGCTGCCGGCCAATAAAGGCTCTTTTATCACCGAGAGACTCCAGGAGGCCGGAGCAGAAGCCAGACCTCTCCTTCGGAAAGGTTAAACCTTCAGTGCAGACACATGTATCAGGTCCTAATGCTGACGTATTCTTTGAGAGGTAGTCAGACGGATTTCTCTTGGCGGTGAAAAAAAAAAATTCAAAACCACGATGGGACCTAAAACTTGGAAGGTGCAAATCCTAGCGAAATAACTAAAATCCTTTTGCGGGTGGCAGGCAACTTGTGATGGTGTCATCTTATGAGGAAGTTGACGGGTGGTCATTGAAATCTAAGCGCTTTGGAGAGCGAAGGAATCCGTGCTATTTCCATATGAATGGTGTAAATGGACTGTTTGTATGCAAAAAGCTTGTGTCTGTGATGGTGGAGGATGCAATGGCTCCCTCAAAACTCATTGAAAAATCCTCCTTGGAAGGAGGGGGGTGGTAGAGCTCAGTGGTAGAGTGTGTGCTGAGCATGCACAAGGTCCTGGGTTCAATCCCCAGTGCCTCCACTTAAAAAATGTCATTATCTCCCCCCAGATTAAAAAACTTTAAAAAGTTAGGGGAGGGGAGAGCACGTCCTTAGCATGGTCCTGCGTTCA